TTTACCCCCTTTCACACGGACCCAATTTGAACCGGTACTCTGTCCCAAATCTGTTTATGTAGATTCAAAATTAAACTCAATCCTATGGCTCAATGTTGACTTTTTTCCCTGTCACCCTTTGTTTCTTGAGAATTTCTTATGACACTTTATATACTTCTAAAGCATCATGTAAAATTTCACAAATGCCTCATGATTTTCGAGATATATTTTCGGGCGCACCCAAACTTAAGTGAACATTGAAATATTTCGGAGATATATTCCTGAAACATTTTGGAGTATAAATCGTGACAGAGTCTTCTCCTTTCTCATTTCACACTTTTCCTCAAACTCAAACTCAACTCTTCTCCATCTCAATACACTTCAACTTTACCAAATCAATTTTCATCAAATAAGGCTCAAAGGAACTCAAGGGAACATCAAGCATCATCTATAAAATTATTCAATATCATCAAAACCATAAATTTCAATTAAGTTTTTCGAGTTTTCGCTAAACATTCGAGTTTTAGTGTAAACGAGTAGTAATAACTGATTAAGGTTAAAAATGTGTATGAATCGCATGTAAAATAGTTTAGACATAGTGTATAACTTGTTTGTTGGCTGAATATGGCGATCAAAATATTTTTTTCTTCAACTTTCATGAGGCACATTCACCATTGATGCGACCTCTGTGTTGCAGAACATTCCGGAGATGCATCTCTCGAATTGTTCAGCGTTTCATATACTTTGAAAAATTCCGGAGATGCATCTCCATAATTATTCAACGCTATAATTTTATGGTGTTTCTGGAGATGTATCTCCAGAATTGTTCAACGTTATAATTTTATGGTGTTTCCGGAGATGCATCTCCGGAATTTCCTATAGCATGTTTTTTTTTTTTTAAATTGCTTGCTTGTGCGTGTTTTTTGCATGCACTAATGATATGCATTACTTTACCTTACATACATAATGGCTGATAGGGTTGACAGACTAAGACATGGTAGAGTTGCTCAGCACACATCCGTTTAGCGGGAGCGGAGTCAGCAGGTTCTGAAGGCTCCAGGTACCTCTGGTTAGGTAGACGCATCGGTAAAGCGTCGTCTACTCTTGGGGCTCGTGCTTCACCTCGCGTCACTCCACCTTATTTCTGTAAGAGACAGGATTCACTATGTGATGCACGACTTCCTCAATCCTCCCACATGCGTTAGGATTCACAAATACCACCTTCTACAGATGATACTATTGACCCAGAACTACCTCCTATTGCTGAACCAGTGCCACCTTTGGAGAATGAGGCTGATGCGGATGCTGAGGCAGAGGATTTAGAAGGAGGTCTATATAATTTTTGCTTACTTCCTCTATATAGACCATACTGTCAGACATATCTGGGACGGAGAGGTAGCATTAGTTGGATTTTTTATTTTTCTTATGCGTTAATTTTAGTGGCTAACATTGATTATTTCTGGATAATTTCAGGAGCTTGATCCCTAAAAGTTTCTTAACCATGGGAGAAAGATTGTTGGCTTGCCTTAGTCGAATGAGGATTGGTTTCAGACGGTCGTGTCCTTGTCTGTCTTGAAGGACCTATGCATGACCAGTTACACTCTAGTCAACCACGAAATGCTTAATGCATTCGTGGAGAGATGACACTATAAGACCTCTTCGTTTCATCTCCTACATTGTGAGATGTCTATAACATTGGACAATGTCTCATGTTTGTTAGATCTTCCGATCAGGGGGGGATTCCTCGATCATGGGAGGATGACCAAAGACGAGGCAACCGAGATGATGATAGAGCATCTAGGGGCTGATCTAGAGAAGGCGATGGAGGAGGTGGATAGGACCAGGGGTGCTCATGCTAGATTTGAGTTTTTGAGAAGGATCTATGATGATGAGATCCTTAGGGCACAACAAGTTCATGGTGATGATGATCAGGTGGTGGTACATAGGGCTCGTGCTTTGAGGGCATACTTTCTTTTTTTGGTTGGCACTTGCATTTTTGTGGACACGACTGCCACTTATAATGACGTAGCATACCTCCGGTACTTCTTAGATCTCACTCAGATCCATGAGTACAACTGGGGGTGGCTTTCTTGGCTTATCTTTATTCGAAGTTGAGAGATGGATGTCGGTAGAAGACGAAGTAGGTCACAGGCAGCGCAACACCACTGGTGGTAATATTTCTTGATCCTTGAATGTTTTTTGTCATTTTCATATTTGTGAAACCATTGCCGATAATTCTTTATCCTTGAATGTTTTTTTTTTTAATTTTCATTTCAGGGTTGGATCCTCCAGCACTTCCCGAATCCCGCGCATCGCTGGTTGTGCGAGTGTGGATGAGTACACTTTGGATATGTCGCGTGCATATGTTTTTATCCCGCTCATAGGGAACTAAGCGTTTGAGCCTTTCAGAGTCTATCTTGATTGTTTGGTTGCTTAGGACATGCACTTCAACAGCTACGTGGATCACTGTCAGACGCGACCGTTTGACGAGATAGTGTTATACTCCGGATGGTTAGCTAGCGGATCACACATCACTTCTCCTCATCTTTCCGAGCACGTCATGCGGCAGTTCGAGTACACCCAGACTATCCACAAACACCCTGTTGTCTCTACTTCTCCTGCCTTATCTCGTAGACAGATAGACAAGATATTTGCTGATTATGAGATTCATCTGATACCGGAGGAGGCACGGGATACCATTGCATCGAATGACTGGAGCCACGTCGAAGGGTACATCACATGGTTCTTCAGGATGTCACATTTGTACATGGTGTTGACTGCTCAAAGAGATCCGTTGAGACCAGTTCATCAGAAGATACTAGAGGAGAAGCATGCTCAGCTAGATCATATTGATGATGTCTTGCCTAAATGTTGTTGCATAGTGGAGATTGTGCGGGCAAGCATTGATGAGGGTATCTTTTCTGATGGGTCTGCTGTTAGGAGATTCCTGGATGCCATCACAGCGGAGGCATATGGGGCACTGTTGTATCAGAGACATCGCTGGAGGACGGGGGAATTGATGGCTGAGGAGGCAAAGCTGAAAGAGAAGGTAGATGAGATGTTGTCAGGCACACAAAGTAATAGTCTGTTATTATTGTGTTGTAGTACTATACTCTCTACTTTATTTTGTTTTATTACATTTTGAATCTCGATTGTACGATATTTTCTACATATATTGTTATATCATTTTCGACACGTTCAGTATTAGTCTCTTATTTTTTTTACGTCTATATTTTTATTCGAGATCCTGTTTCATAGTTCATCTGAAATAGCAAAAAAAACGCCTGTTTTGATACACTTCGAAGATGTATCTCCAGAATATTACCAGAGATGTATCTCCGAAACAATTCAAATATAAATGACTACTGAGTGGCATATTTTGAATGTTTAAAATTATTCTGGAGATATATCTTCGAAATAAGTCAACATTTATTTAGAAATAAGTGTGTCCGAAGATGTATCTCTGAAATCATGAAAGTATATGTGAAAATTCACATGGTGTATTAGAAAGATCTGGATGCAATAAGAAATTCTCTATTTCTTTCTCTATTATTTTCACTTTTACCAACCACACCCTTGTCATTGGACCTAATGTTTCTAAGCTTCTCACCTACACCATCACCTCTATTTTCAGGTCATGCAAGAAATACCCCATTTCCTGCTTGTCATGTGGGGAGGACTTTAACCATTAAGGTACTTAAATAGGCCTATGAACTCATCCATCGACTCCTTTTGTCGTAACTCTGTTAGTTGCTCATACATATCGCCTTCACCGTATCCTCTATCTCAATCTATAAGCTCTCTTTTCAAATGCTCCCATGTGAGCTCACGCCCATCCTCCATCAATGAAATAAAGAAATGGATCATGGCACCCTCCATACACAGTTGAGTCAAACTCACATTCACTTCCAAAATCGTATCTTGCACATAGAAGTACAATTATGCCCTAGAGATCTAATCGACTGAAACCTTATCGCAATCATAAAACATAAGGAATTCCACTTTTTTAACGGATTGCTGGAACTCTACAAACGAGTCACCAGATAGTTGATGAAACTGTAGCTTCTATTATCGACGATCCCTTCTTTGGTTATCCCTTCTCGCCCTCCTTTTCCTCCTCACTGCACACTGTCTTACCCAACCATTACTTTCGCCAGAGTTAAGATCGTCACCTCGCTTTCTAGCACCTCAACCTTTACCTCCTCCATATTTCTAAACACCGCTTGATTGTACTTATCCACTGGTCCCGTCAATAAAATTCGATAAGTCAAATCAATTTCTTAGGAACCCAAGCTAAGATGCAAAAAACTAGAAATAAAGGGCAGTAACAATAAAATTCGATAAGTCAAATCAATTTCTTAGGAACCCAAGCTAAGATGCAAAAAACTAGAAATAAAGGGCAGTAACAAAGATGTTTATTGATTCAAGATAGGAGAGGAAATTACAGAGAAGGAATAATCCTAGATCTGCCACAAAGTTATAACTCCGATAAAAAGAAGCTCGCCGCCCCTTACTCATAACTAGCTTTAGCTAGAATCCAAGGTTGAGGACGGTTAGAGCTAGTCATCATTAGCAAATCAGAGATTAGTAACCAACTCATTCTTATGTCCTCTAGAATAGACTACCCACTTCTTAAGCCCATTAGTTAGTTGCACCCTAAAAACTTCATTTCTTGAAGTCCTACAGAATCTACATGCATCTTTTCGTTTTCATTAGATTATGGTAAGCTTTGTTTTCATTGTATGAGTAGAGATAATAAGTAGTTATACAATTACTGGACTTACAAAAACTATTAATTACATATGAAAGACTTCAACTATAAAAGTTACATGTGAAATAATAAATCATCTTTATATTTATATAAGGGAGAGTGAGAAGGCAAAAGTTGAAATGGCTATGAATTTCTACAAAAACTAAACAAAATGGTTATCATTGGAGCATTAACTAGACTGCCAAAAATGAAAACATAGGTATATGATTTCCATTTGTTATCCTATCTGTTTTTATGTACTTCACAATCCTCACAGGCCGTCTTTCATGCTTATCTTAATGTTTTCCACCTTCACTGACAACTCTAACTTGTGATCCTCAACAGCTTTTAAAACAGAGAGCAAGTTGGACCGGTAAATTTCACACTTCCTATTTGCAGACTCAAGCTCATCCGTAAGTTTTGATATATGCTTATCCATATCATCCTGCAAGATATCAAGAAATGAAGATAAACAAAAGCATATTTGACTATGAAATATTATATATTTAAAATACATGAACTGGTCAAATCTATTACAACAATAATCAAAGTGTTTTCTCCCCAAACTGGGATCATTTACAACAAACATAACTATTAGACAACAGCATATTTGAGTGAAGTTATGTCTACAGAGAGCAAGTTGGGCCCAATAAAGCAAACATAACTTCAGTCATAATACTAAAATCCACACATACAGGCCAATTCAGTCAACATTAATTGTTTAACACCCAGAATTAAAACACAAAATGTCTTCAAAGAAGACTCTAATGAAGAAAAAATTCTTAAAATGTTGAGATGATATATGATGTACATATTTTCCTTTATGCCCTTGGGGAAAAACATTGCAAATGAAAACTAGATCAAACGCAATATGCATCCTTGATTAAGCGCAAAATACAGATCCCTAAGGGAAAAAGAAAAATGAGGATTAAATTTACTCACATGTAGTGTAAGGATTAAAACATCAAAATGCGAAGTTTTTGGTCAGGGGAGAGACCTACTGAGACGAGTTAAAACAATTTAGTCTTCAAAGTACTATTTACGTCAAGTCCGCAACTCAATAGTTGACTAAATTAATTCCTAATTGATGATAAGTCCAATCTTCACGGGATTAAATTTTCTTCCAAACTGATGTGCTTGAAGCCAGTTGAAGTAAATATATTATTTTGTACAACAAAAGTTGTCTCAAAATCAATTTCTTTTTAGGAGGAAATGGGTATTTAATGTAAAAAAGACAACTTCCCCTAAATATGTATAATTAAAATGAGCAACTAGCTTATCATTTAGATTTTAGACAATAAATTGCATAAAATAAGTGTTGAATGAGTGTTTAAGATGTATTATTCAAATTGAACAAACATTCAGATAGTTGAGTCATAATAGTTAGAAGATTTTAGTAATATTTGAGTCATAATAGTTAGAAGATTTTAGTATTAAAACCGTAGACATGTAGAACAACACAAAAGCATAAGATGATTTATATATCAGTAGGACTTATAACTAATAGAGAAAATATGCAATAGCACTCAACAAAAAAGAAGGTGATCAAAGGGTTGGTTAAGAGGGAAAAACAATTGCCAGCTAGCTTTACCTTGAGAGTGATAAAGGAAGTGTCACTGACAAGCTTAAGCTGTAAAACTGAAAATTAAAGATTGATTTTATATCTCTAGCACATCCCCTCATCCATAAATCCTCTGGATTTGAGGTTTGGTCAACGCACAATACAAATCTACCATGTGTGAAGTTCAACTTTATTTGGAAGAATGATGGTGTCTAGTATCAAACTGCTAACCACTTTATCATAGAGAAGCTCAAATACCATTTCAAGATTCAATTATCTTAAGACCTAGGTTTTCGGTGAAGATTCAACGTTTGTTTTATATCTCTAGCATGGTGGATGAAAGTGTAAAGTACATTTAACATGCCATTGTAGAAAAGGTAAAAAAACAAGCATGAAATGAAATTCTGACCTTATTCATATGCTCGACCAAGCTTTCATCCTGGCAGCCACTAGTGTAATTAGCACGGCTTTCATCATTCAGCATGTGACTCCTAACCTTCCCATTGCTGATGGGAGTTCTCCCCTCATTTCGGTTTACCTGTGCAACTTTTTTTGCAGCTTCTTGTAAAGCATCCTTTGCAACATCAAAAGTTTCAGGGGAGCTTGCACCTTTATCAACAAATTTAAAGGCCTCGTGTCGAAGAGTGGTATATCTAACTGTATGAGATTCCAAATAGTAAGTATATACATCACAAGAATGTTCTTGCAAAATGACATTGCTCTTGGCATTTCTTGTCCATCGTTTCAGTATATAATGAGATGGAAGAGTAAGGACATTGGTAACTCTAAAGACCGCAAGAATATGTCTGCAAAGAAGACCTGAAAACTCAAACATTTGGCAACTGCAAGTCGCTTTCATCGCCAAAACATTGAATCTAACTATGTATGCTTTATGATCTTCTCCAAATTTAGCTACATGATATGTAATGACCTCTCCATCGTCCTCCGCTTTGGATGCCATGAATGTTAGTGTGCCGACCAACTCCTCTTGGAACCTCATGAAAATCTTTCTTGTGTAAAGCTCGGATGCTTGCCTCTCCATCGGAGACGGGGTCCTCAATACAGGCAAAGTATTCATTGTGTCATAATCTGCTCTTACTTCTTTCTCATTGCGACTTTCAAGCGCTTTCTCATAAAGCTTAAAGAACTGATTTAAACTGGTGGAAGCATTGACATAGCCATCAAAGTAAGAGTTCATGCTATCACTTCGCTGAGTGATGGACATTTCGGCAAAGAAGGTGTCTCGCAAATATACAGGTACCCACTGCCTGCAAGCGGAATGTATTGCCTGAAGCCATTCATTGTCCCTGAGACCGTATCTATCTACAAGTGTGGACCAGCAAGACTCGAATTCGTCAGTTGAGTCAGTCAAATTAACACATTTGTGAAACTCAGCTTCAAAACTTGGAAACTGGAGGAAAATGTGAGACAACTTCTCTTGGCACTGCTTAAAGATGTGCCACTTGCAGAAACGGTGACGGGTGTTGGGAAATACTTGCATTATGGCGGACTGAATAACAGAATCATGATCGGTAGTTATTGAGAGTGGGTGACGTCCAGACATGGCGATAAGCCATGTTTTGAAAAGCCAGTCAAAGGAAGCCTCGGATTCATTAATTAGAAAAGCACAACCAAAGAGAACCGGTTGACCATGATGGTTGACACCAGTAAAAGGAGCAAAGGGTAATCGATACCTATTAGAGCGGTAAGTAGTGTCAAAAGTGACTGTATCTCCGAAAAAAGTGTAATTTAACCTTGCCTTAGGGTCAGCCCAGAAAACATTGTTGATTGAATGATCGTCGTCGTCAAGATCACCTTGAACAGCAAAGAAGAAATTAGGGTTTTGGGCGTGCATCTGTCTCAAATAATCAAGAACAAGTTGAATATCCCCCTGTAAACTTCTGTGGCGATTATTCCTCATGTAATTCCTACAATCAACCTCGGTAAAGCCGACTTTGCTAATACCACCATACTCTTTGATGAGTGCTGACATAATTCTCCGAGGACCCATACCAGCTGCCTGAAGAGTGTCAATGAGGGTCTTGGCAGATCCAGATATTTGCCTGTGAGAGCGAAGGCAGTGAACCTGATCCGGCGGAACAAGTTCGTGATTATGCTCTCGGACAAAACCGGAAACGATCCACTTGCCGGAATCTTGCATTTTGACAGAAAAAGAAGCCTTGCATCCAACTCTGGTAACAGTTCGCGGCCTTTTGATCTCTCTATCTTTGGTGCGTTTCTCGTTCAAATTGCGAAAGCCTTCCTTAGCACAAACGAATTGTCTCTGAATGATGGCTCCGTCGCGACGCGAACGACGGGAGGAGCTGACACGAGTGCTAAAGCCAACACGACGAGCATAGGAATTATAGAAAGCTTTGGCAGCCTCTTCAGACTCAAATTCCATGCCATCAGAAGGTTCGAGATCTCCGGCATCTGGAAAATAGACAGCACCACAGTCTTCATCTTCATCATCTTCGTCTTCGTCCTCATCGATCTCAATAGGGTCCTCTTGGTAATCTCCTCCTCCCAAAGCAATATCAAATTCGACCATCCCGTTCTCCATCTTAATTAATCAATTCCTGCTCTCCACTTCACTTCATTATTCATTCCACAAACCCTACCTTAGACACACAACTTTCCAAGGTTAAAAAAAACATCAATTTTTACTCTTTTCATCCTCCATTTTCAAATTATGTTTGCTAATATCACATTAATTCATATACATTTTAATATAAACTTTTTATATAATGCATCACAAACGATTTATATATTTCAATTAAATTTTATAAATATATTTATATATAATATTTAAGATGTCATTAAATAAAAATCAAATATATATAACAATTTAACAGTTATTATTAACTGCCTTTATTTTTATATTGTTAATATATTAATTAAATTTTTAATATATTATCGTTGTTAGTAATTTTTTAGTATATTCAATATTTATAAAATAATTTATAATTGATGGTAAAATATGTAACACCCTAAAATAAATATAACTAAAATAAGGGCAAATTGGACAATGGAGAGGAGTTAGTGAGGGTAATATGGGAAAAGTACAATTGTGATTCACACTAGGTTTAACAAAAAGAAAATTGTAAAAAGGATTAGAATTCATTTGTTAGACCGTGAAAAGAATTGAGCTATTTTTGTGTGATAATATGTTATGTTTACATATTGAGCTATTTTTGTACGATAATATGTTATGTTTACATATTGAGCTATTTTTGCCGACTTTGAGAGCTTTCGGGTAAAAATAGGTTGGAGGATATTTTGGGCATTAGTGATAATATTAAGTGGATATTTTGTGAGAATTAATTGATAAGTGTGTGGAAAGAATTTGGGAGGAAAGAAATAGAATATGAGTATAGAGAGAATAGAGAAAGATAGAAACATTAAGAAGAAAAACAAGAGAAAGAAAGGAGGAGGAGAGAAAAGAAGAGAAAGTGGAGCAAAACCTAGAATCATCAAGAATCAACCTTAGCTTGCGATTAATCAGGTAAGGGTGAGAAGTTTTATCATCTTCATAATGTGTATGATCATGTATGTGCTATATTGAATTTGTTGGATTGTTTCTATGTTTCCATTTCTAGGTCGGAAGTTGATTTAATCGGTAGAAACTGAGTTTTATCGGTTAGGATTTGGAATAGACGGTGTAGTATAGTCGGGTGATGAGTGGGTTGTACTACTGGGACAGATTTGGATTAAATCGGTCGGGTTGTGAGGTTTGGGCTTTAGGACAGCCATGGGAGTTCTGAGTTCGCAAGTTCGTTAGGCGAATGCCAGCGAACCAAGTCAGAAGCATCCACCCTGTCTTCGCTGGCAAGTTCACCAGGCGAATGAGAGTGGCGAAGGTTCGCCAGGCGAGTGTGCTAGCGAGTAGTTCCAGAATAAATCCCAGTGGTCTTCGCTGGCAAGTTCGCCAGGCGAACGGGTAGCGAAGGTTCGCCAGGCGAAGGTTAGCGAACACAGCAGCATATTTTATTTTCTTGTGTTTTCCATTCGTGGATCGGTTGTGTGGTTTGGTTGCGATCATTCCTTGTCTGAGATGGCTAAATTATATGTTGTTATATGTGTTGTGGTAACCGTATGGTGTGAGTCCTAGTTTGTGATTCGTAAAGTGTGAAATGTGGCCCTTTGGCAATTTTATGCATTATTTGAATTAAATAGAGATGCATGGCTAGATTGACTCTGAATGTGAACCATGTATGAAAATTGGTGTGAATGGATGATGAATATATATATATATATGCCTTGTGATACATATATTTGAATGCATAATGAATATATGCGATGAATGTGATGAATGCATGAGTATGTTTGTAAACATGTATGCATTTCAAGAGTGTCATGAGTCATGTTGCATGTGAAGCATCATGGTATGCATTCTTGTGTCGATTGATCCCTCTGTGGATATGCAGAACCTCGTGTGCCCTTGTGGGGTGTGAGCGATGGTTATTTATTGATCCCTCGGTGGATTTGCAGAATCTCGTGTGCCCTTGTGGGGTGTGAGTAGGGCTGGCAATGAACCGAACCAACTCGAAAATAGTTCGAAATTCGATTCGACAATTAGATCGTTGAACTAGGTTCATGAACCTAATGAGTTGAGTATGAGCGAAAAATTAAGTTCGTTAACTAAATGAGCTGAACTTGAACTCTACATAGTTCGACTCGTTAGGTTCATGAGTTAACTCGATTACATATGAGAATAATTATACTGTCTTTAAGATTAGGTTTAAATATTTAATCTAAATCTTAGACAAATTTAATCTTCAACTTAGTAGTTTTTGAATTAGACTCTCAAATGTATCTCTTGAAAGTTGTGTAAGTTTTGAATTAGTAGATTTCGAAGATAAAGTTAAATTTCAATATGATAATTTTTATTTTATTTTAATATTTTATTTTTAAAAAAATATATTTATTTAAAATGTCAAATATACTAAAATATATATATATATTAAAAAAAATAGTTTTTAAGCCCGTGAATCATGTGAGCTGATCCTAATGAGTTGAACCAAACTGTTCGTGAACTTATAACAAGTCGAGTTTGAACTTAAAAAAAAGTTCGTGTTGAACTCGAACTCGAACTCGAACTCGAAACAATTCATAACGAGTCGAGTTTGAGCTTAAAAAAAAGTTCGTGTTGAACTCGAACTCGAACTCGAACTCGAAAAATTCTTAATGAGTCGAGCCGAGCTGAGGTGAGTTCGACTCGACTCGACTCATTTCCAGCCCTAGGTGTGAGCGATGGTTATATTTGATTCCTCGGTGAATCTGCAGAACCTCGTATGTTGCGATGGTTATATTTGATTCCTCGGTGAATCTGCAGAACCTCGTATGTTGCGATGGTTATATTTGATTCCTCGGTGAATCTGCAGAACCTCGTGTGCCCATGTGGGGTGCGAGCGATAGTTATTTGGTTCTTCAATTGAACCTGCTGGAATGAGTCGGTACCGCATTTGCATCTGCATAGAGTCGTGTGTCGGTCTCTGTGAGTTGCATGTAGACATCTGTGCATGATGTATGGGAATAAACATGAATGTAGATGTTTATGTAGATTGTTGATAATTGGCATGAATGGAAGGTTTAAATATACATGTATGTGTGAATATATGTGTATATGTATGCATGTTTATGAATTGATATAAACATTGTTGATGCACATTGTATATGTTTGATGCTCTATTTGTAAATAGTTAAGCGTAAATACATTGCAATGTACGGTGTAGTGAGATGAGTTGTGGTGAGAATGCGGAAGACGTTTTAGGACCTTATATATATATATATATATATATATATATATATATATATATATATATATATATATATATATATATATATATATATATATATATATATATATATATATATATATATATATATATATATATATATATATATATATATATATATATATATATATATATATATATATATATATATATATATATATATATATATATATATATATATATATATATATGTTTATGTGCATTATGTATTATGATATTGTTTCTCACCCTTCTGTTGTTTTATAATGCTCTATGAGGCATTGCAGATTAGATTGCTGGAGTCTTTGTGAAGCGAGTCTTCATTTCTTTTGGTCAGATGGCTCTGATATGTAACACTGGGTAGTTAGAAATTATTTTGATTCTTTTGTGATGCATCTGTATATGTATCTGCTGATGAACGTTTTGTAAACTCAACTGATGAATTGAATTAATCTGAACGATGTATATGATGTTTATGTTAATGAAGTGAATTCAATGTTTAGATGTTTCCGCTTTATTCTAAATGTTGATGTGTGAGTTTTAAGCGGTATGCTTTGTTTTTAGTTGAGATTTACCCCTTTTGTTACATATCTTAGTGAGCTGGTATTTCTTATATTTCGTTTCGATGATAATGTGATGCGCCTCTTTTATACCATGTTATAATTATACTCTGATAGAATTCTTTTCATTAAGTGCCTAAATGATTTAATTGTTTATTTGGTGTATAGAAAGGGGGTGTTACATAAAGTGGTATCAGAGCCAGTGTTGAGTCAGTTGTGTCTGTCTCGTTGTTTTGTTGGTTGGACGGTTGTTTAACCTTGTGGTTATTTTTGGGAATAATCAGAATATGGCTGGTCGTAATGACAATGTGATGACTGTTGCATTGGATGCAATGGCTAGGGCGGTGCAGGGTGCGCCAAATGTGAACGCTAATGATGAGTTTAGAAAGAATCAACTGCCGGTATTCAAGGGAAGATTTGATCCGGACGGTGCTCAGATTTGGTTAAAGGAGATCGAGAGGATCTTTAGAGTTATGAATTGTGTTGAAGGGAACAAGGTGAGAATTGGGACTCACATGCTGAGAGAAGAAGTCGGTGACTGGTGGGTCGGTATGAGACAAGTTCTTGAAGTAGACGATGAGGAAATCACTTGGGATTTATTTCGCACAGAATTTTTGAGAAAGTATTATCCTGAGAGTGTGAAGGGAAAGAAGGAGATGGAGTTCCTGGAATTGAAACAAGGCAATATGTCTGTGATAGACTACACGAGTTAGTGAAGTTTCATCCTCACTATGATGCGGTGACAGCGGAATTTTCCAAATGTGTTAAGTATGAGAACGACTTGCGCCCTGAGATCAAGCAAGCGGTGGGTTATCAGAGGATTAGGAGATTTTCTGACTTGACCGAATGCTGTAGAATCTTTGAAGAAGATAGTAAAACTCGTTCCACTTACTATAAGAGTTTGAATGAGAAGAGAGGGAAGCAACCGGTAAGGAGTGGACCTTATGTGACGCCTGCTGATAAAGGCAAGCATAGGGAAAACTTTGTTAAGAGGTCCGGAGGTGGAAGTTCTGGTCCCATTAAGTGCTTTAGGTGCGGTGAACAGGGGCATAAATCTTTTGAGTATAAGAAGGATGGAGCGAAGTGTGCTAACTGTGGAGGTATCGGGCATGCTACAACTGATTGTAGAAGGAACGTGGTGAAGTGTTACAACTGTGGGGAAGGTGGTCATATTAGTACAAAGTGTACTAAGCCAAAGCAAGCTCCAACGAGTGGGAAGGTATTTG